AGGTCATTTGGGTTGGCCACCCCTGGTCTATATTATAGATAATGGGCTAATCTAAATGGTATAGCACTCGGTATCAACATGTTATTTACTCACACTGAATATTATTCTCAATATATTTTATTTATTTATTCATAAGTTAAACTGTTCAGAATAATTTTTACTTTTTATTCACAGTTAAAACTATAGAAAATAAAAAATTAATTTTTAATCACAAAATAATAAGTTATTCATGACTTCATTTTTATTCATAATTTTTATTAGTTTTTGTCCAACTTTAGATATCGGTGATAAAATCGATGAAAAAATTTGAAAACCTTGAACCTTAGCATTGCAGAGTCGTCGTTGCACAATCTGTTTGACGCGGAAGTACTATTTTTACCGTTGGATTTTTGCCCAATGCCCAATAAATATAACGATTGTTATTATTAAATTTAATTCATACAATATTTTTTTTATATTTCAATTTTTTTTTTATGATTATTTATATTATTATTATTTTAATTATTGTGTTATAGCATATTTTTTTATTTATGAGGTCTTAGAAGATCTGACCTTGGTATTATATATCTTAATAATTATAATATATACCTATTTATTTTTAAACAACAACAAAGTATAAGTTAGATAAAAAATAAACTAAAAATAAACAAGTTGCATGCTCATCCAATAAGGATATGCTTGAAAAGAATGAACTGAATTGATATTACTAGAGTACATAGGCGTGCGCATGGGAGATGCCGGATGTTTTGGTGAAGCTATTGTTTGCTTATTATTATTGCTACAGTCGGATTAAAAATGTGTGTCAATACTTTAATAAAAAATAATTTAATATAAACTATTTAATTTAATTAAAATCTAACTAATGTAATATACTTATTAATTAAATTTGTAATTAAAACAAGTCTCAATATAAAATATTATTTTTAAAATCTGTTTGCATATTTAAGATATTAAAATTATTTAGGATTTTTGAATTTTTAAAGTGTTAAAGTATTTTCTTTGTGTTTAAATAATTAAGTGGAATAGGCAAAATATCAGTGACTTTCTAAAAAATTACGAACACTATCCACTTCTTTGGAATGTATACGAGGTTTGATCAAAAAATACCTAGATTGTGTTAATAATATTTATCAGGGACCAGAACTGTAACCGAAAAGAACCGATACTGGTACCGGCTAAACTCTAAAATTTAGGAACCGTAACTGAAACCGGAACCTTTATTTCCAAAAATGAAAAACCGTAACCGTAACCGTAACCTTAATTATAACAGGGTTAATTTAAATCAAATATTTAGACTAGTAAAACTATGGTAATGACTATTTTGTTTGTCCATTTGTGGGTTCGGAAAAACAAAAGTCAAATCTTTTTATGTTTTTACTATTTTGTGTTGTAAACTGTAATAGTGTAATGCATATAATAAGTAAATTTATAATATTATTATTATTATTATTTTTGTGTGTTTATTAATATATTACAATTTACAATGAGTATATCATCTATCTTGTCTACTAAGTACTAAATAAAATTAATGTTTAAACAAATTTATAGACACAATAGTAGCCATTATTAACTTTGATTCCTAATTAAAATTAAATTTTAAATTGAAGATATTTATTTCATCAAATCATAATATTTCACAATATTACAAAATATTTTACAAATTCTTTCTATGAGTTGGAATAAAATAACTTAACTTAACTCAAAGAAATATAATAGGCTGATATAATATATATATTTAATATATTTGTAATTATTTTTTTTAACTATTCATAATACCTTCTATATCCATGAAATGAAACAATTACAATTTAAACAAGAATAAATAAATAATTTCATATTATTTTTTAATAAATCTCTAATAATCAGAATCAACCGAAATTAACCAGTTATAGAACCCGTACTCTTTTAAAAAACCTATTGGTTCCAGTCCCTGATACTTATATTAATCAAGATAACGAAACCCCGATAATGTCATTCTATAAAGTAACTTCTAACGAGTATTTGAGCGTTGGTTTGAAATCGATAACCAGGGGTGTCATTTCAACTTTTGAAAGGGTGAGACAACTGTTTAAATTTGCCAACATCATAATATTTAAAAAATTATGGTTACCTATACCGTGTGTTCAATTTTAAAGGTAACAGGAAATATTTCGAACGCATGACCTTGAATTTGATTTGGTTTTTTTTTACAGTTTTATTATTTAATACATGTTTTTGATAAATTAAATTCTAATTTTTAACTCTTTTATACCTGCGCATGCACAGTAAAATAAAAATTTCTTAAATAGGAACCCCCATTTTTGACACTGGAATTGGATTGCTCTATTTTTTTTTTTGAGCAACTTTGATCTTTTTTTTGTTTTTTGATATGTTCAAAAATTTACATTTTTAAGACAGTCGAAAGTTTTAAATTAAGTAATAATTACGAATTATTCGTATTTATCGCATATTTCAACGCTCATCGTATCTTAATCAAGCATTTACAGATATTATTAAAACAATTTATTTTTATTAAAACTACAAGGCAGTAGCGTGGCTTGCATATAAGCAGTGTAACTGCGGCATAAAGTGAATAGATATTTTTCAAGTGAAATTTAAAAAAAAACATAAGTAAATATAATGAAAAAGTAGATAATAATAGGTACATTGTAAGTAAATTAATTGATAACACTTGTTTTCTCGCTAAACAAGAATTAGCTTTTAGAGGTTACGATGAAAAATCAAATTTCTTAAATAAAGGTAATTTTTTCGAAACATTTAACTTGCTCTCTTCTGTTGATGATAAATTAAAATTTCATATTTCAAATTCTACTGTTTTTATAGGCCTTTCTAATGACATACAAAATTATTTGATAAATTCCATTAAAAATGTTATAATTAACAAAATGAAAAATGAAATTAAACATGCTGAGTTTTTAGCAATAATTACTGATGAAACAACTGATATAACTAAAAAATCACAACCCACAACAGTATTTAGATATGTTAATGATAATGGTGTTTAAGAGAGATTTATTGGATTTTGTGATGTTAGTGCAGATAGGTCCGCTAAATCTTTAGCAAATCATTTTTTTTCAATACTCCCAGAGTATATATGTGATGAGAATAAATTAGTTGCTCAAACATATGATGGAGCAGCTGTTATGTCTGGTTTTCATTATGATTTGCAGACTTTGATAAGACATAAATATAAATATGCCACATATATCTATTGCTATGCACATAAACTTGATTTAGTTCTTAAACAGTCAGTATCTCATATAAAAGAATGTAAAATATTTTTTACCAATCTAAACGAATTTGCTGTTTTTTCGCTAATAGTACAAAAAGAATAAATGAATTAGATTTAATAGTTAAGGGGCCTCACCACCACGTCTTTTTTTAACAAAAACTACTGTTTCTAATTCCAACGCTACGTGTCGAAAATTATCACGATTTTTATTCTGAAAAAATATTCGGATGCTCCGTAATATGTACAAGGGAACGATCGAGCCACATTCTTAATTTTTGTAGTTTGAATTGCAATAAATATTGTTGTAAATACAAAAAAAATACAAAATTTCAAACTTAAATATTTAATTAACTAAATACAATTTTTAAAATGTGCCTCGATCGATCCCTCGTACATATTACGGAGCATCCAAATATTTTTTCAGAATGAAAATCGTGATAATTGTCGACACATAGCGTTGGAATTAGAAACGTATGTTGGAATGAAAAATAAACATTTTTTTGCGAACACGATATTACCTGATGACATGTGCGTGCGAGTGCGTGCGAGAGCCCCCCCGTACCGCTATCGTACCGAGTCTAGCTAAATAAACCTAAACAGTGTAATATAATTGGATACGTTATTTCGTGGTGTCCTATAATAATGTTAGCAATTACTTATATTTCCCTAAAATTAATAAATAAAATTACCCTATGGAAAATTGATAAAAACAAAGATATTATAGGAATTAATACCAACCATAAATATTACTACCAAGTTCAAGGATAACTACACGTCACTGGAAGAAGATTTAGTATAATAGCATATTGGACAAATAAAGGTGTAAAGTATGAAACAATTGAACGAGATGATATATTTTGGGGTAACAAAATGTTTCCAAAACTAGAAATGTTTTTCTTCAATTGTCTTCTTCCTGAATTGGTTGATCCCAGACATTCCAGAAGTATGCAAATAAGAAACCCTACTTATATTTTGGAAGCAAAAATGAAGAAAAAAAATAGGCTACACTATACCCGTATGAATATAATATAAGCTATTATTTACTATACAAATTATGTCATATGATTTTAATTTTACCTAAATAATACTATTTTATCACAATATTATAATAATTAAAAAATAAGTACGTAATTGTATTAATCAACAATTTATTGTATGAACTGCACTAACAGAAAATTTCGTAATTATTACCCTCCCTGATTGTTTATTTATTATGTATACTGTTTCTATGACTAATAATACTACATTATAATGACAATAGTTGATGTTAAACTACCTATGTCCTAAACTCCTAAACTATATTATACTAATGCAATAATACTTGAACTATTCAACAAAATATACACAATATACCTATCTATATTATCTGGCAAAAAAAAATAATAATAATCTAAAACTCTTCCTGTTTTTTTATATTATATATTATGGGTCCACGTATAAACTTAGAATTTAGAATTCTGGACCGCATAAATCTAAACTGTACATATTTGGAAAGTACATTATCTGAACCGTATGAATCTGGATACGATTACGCATGTATTGGCACTCGTCGCTACACTTAGCAAATCGAAAATATCCCTTGGCTTGTTACGCAAAACCACTTCAAGTAGGTAACAGGGACAAAATAAATGTGGATATGCAGATATATATATCCAGATTTGTACGGTCCAGATAATCTATACCAATAATGACTATACAAATTATTTTACACTGCGGACTATATTATTATTTTTCTCAATTTATAGCATAATAAGTTAAAACTAATGAACCGAATTCTCTGAAGCCATTCAACACGCGAGTACGGGACACCGATTATAATAATATGATTACGACTAGTGACTTCCTGATGGTATGGAAAGGAGAGCGGTACCCCCATTGAATTGTACTCACACTAAAAATTATTTACAACTAACACAAATATCCCAGGACGGCTACGACGAGATTAGAAATTGCCTATATGTTGCCCCTTAAATAATAGCAGTAGCGAGGCCCCTTAAAAAACGGTTTCCAACTATTACTCCGACAAGATGGAACTATAATAGTAAACTAATTAATACTGTAGTTGAACATAAAAAGAAATAAAACAATGCAGATTATTTTAGAGAATGCTGATAAATGGGACACTGAATCATTAACATATGCTAGAAGGTTTTGTTTAACTTTAGAAGATTTTGATTTTAATTTCAATTTAATTATTTTTGGTAAAATATTACCCTTAAGCAAGGTACCTTTTTGATATATTGCAAAACAAAGTATTTCATATTTCATATTTTACTCAAACAATTAATACATTTAAGAAACAATTAAATGAATACAGGCAAAAATTTGATTTAGTTTAGAATGAAGTAAATGAATTAGAAAAAGATAAAGTAATTCCCTTTATAAGTAAAAGGTCGGTTTTTTTCGATATTTTAATTTTTTAGTGAGTTATGTTTTTTTAATATATATATATAATTATATATATATATATATATTACATACTCATAACACGCTTAAAAATTAAAATATCAGAAAAAACCAATCAATAAAACATAGATAATGTTCTTCCCCTAAAGTTCGACTATAGGTCAGTTTACACTAATATTAAAGCTAACATCACTACATTTGAATCATTGAATGCAAATTTGCTGTGTTGTACGTATGTCAGATGGAGACAACACATGCTAGTATGACAGTCTTCTTAATATTTTACAGAACTTATTTATAAAAATATAAACTTGTATCTCAAATATAATATAGGTACTGTAGTTTGAGGTTAAAAGGAACGATTTTAACGGTTTTTTATAGATTATAAGCTCAATTTTTATGGTATCGATATCACGAAAACTGTTTTATAAAAATCACATATATAGAAATAAATAATATACCAAAAATAAAGATTTTAAGATTCGCGTAATAACGATTGACATAAACCGGGGAGGAGCCAGTGTTTCCCAATTTTTAATAAACCTTGAATGTGTATTCAAAAGAGAATATTATCTGATTTCTGAGTACAAAATAGTAAATAAAAATTTACTATTTACTAATTTTAGCATTTGATCATCGGACAAAGAATTGCCGGCATTTTCAAATTTCTTAGAGTGGGGCATTTGTCATAGTCTGCCCCCCTCCAAAATTACGCCCTTGTCGATAACAATATATTTTTTTATTTTATGGTACTTTTAAGAAAGCATATTTCAGTGGCGAATTTCGTAATGGAAGGAATAGAAGAACAACGTGTGTGCGTGAAATTTTGTTTTAAATTTGGGAAAAGTTCTAGTGAAACTTTTGGAGATGATGCCCTGTCTCGGACAACATTTTTTAAGTGGTTTAAACAGTTTAAGGAAGGTAGAATATCCGTAAGGATAACGAACAACTTGGTAGACCCTCGACCAGTAAAACAAATGAAACTGTTGCTCGTGTTGGTGAAATTATTCGAAATAATCGTCGATTAACTATTAAAGAAGTTGCAGAAGACGTCGGAATATCTTATGGTTCGTGCCAAGAAACACTAACCAAAGAATTGGGTATGAACTGAATCGCTGTCAAATTTTTTCCTCGCCTCTTATCCGATTAACAGAAACAAAACTGAAAGACTATCGTGCAAGAACTTTTTGAAAGAGCAGAAATTGATTTAGACTTTTTAAAAAATATTTTTTCAGGTGAAGAAACTTAGATTTACGGGTATGATTGAAATCAAGCATCAATCATCACAGTGGAAGTTAGCAAATTCTAGACCAAAAAAAAGCAAGACAGGTAAAATCAAATGTGAAAGCCATGTTAATCACATTTTTTGATTTTCATGGTATAGTTTATCGCGAATGGGTGTCTCAAAGACAAACAGTAAATCAGCATTTTTATTTAGAAGTCATGAGAAGATTACGTGAAAGTGTTAGGAAAAAAAGGCCAGAAAGTTGGAAAAGTTGTTCTTAGATGTTGCATCACGATAACACTCTGGCTTACAGCTCATTGCTCATTTGTCAGTTTTTAACGAAAATTCAGACTCAAGTAGTTCCACAACCATCATACTCACCGGACTTGGCTACGTGCGACTAATAAATATTCCAAGCATATTAACATATAGTTGTTTTTAATTTTATTCAATTATTATTTATTACAGAATAAAAATTATATTCATAATATACATTTTTCTTTTTTTTAGGATTTAACCCTATATAAACATGCTTTATTTTATTTGTGCAGAACAAATACACAAATTACCATCTCTTGTTGTTCAATATAAAATAATATATATCCTTGGTCCGTACAGAAACTATACTTGTAAAGAAAATATCGTTCTCAATCATTTCAAACTTTAAGTAGGTAGTTTTAAAAAAAATCATGTTCTGATTAAACATACTGATGCATTAGAAATTAATGAAATGATACAATTTAGTAATTCAGAGTTAAATTCTCATTTAAAACATAATGTCAATTAATATGATGATGTAGATATAGTTAATAATACGTTTGATCAAACACCTCAGATACCTAATGAAAATGTATTTGATTTTAATGAAAGTATTAAACAGTTTCATTGGTTAGCTATACAATTTTGTCTTAACTTTCATAATAATAACTTTTGTAAAAGTCATTTGCTTAATATTAAAGATGATATAGAAGCATAACTTATTAAATCCATCACTTCCTTATTGAAAAATATGATTAAAAATGAAATTCAAGACCCATTGATTTATCTAGATTTTCTACAGTTATTTCATCATTTCAGATCCCATTAAATATTGTGAAAGTGAACATATTGAGATTGCCCAGTTGAACTAAACGAAGTATGTTTTTTTTGTTAAATCTTTATGTTAAAGCCACACATATTATTATATTAGTATATACAATAATTGATAAGTAATAATTTTTTTAATGAAATAATATATTTTAATAAAACTGCTAAACAGCTAAACTTGTAACACATACTGATGTAAGTATTTTGAAATTAATGAAATAATAAATACAAACTATTCAAATAATAGGCTTAAATACATAAGAAAAAAAAAAAAATTATGGTTCAAACCAATTGTACTTCCAAAAAATGTAGTGTCTCACATAATTTTAATAATAAATAATAATAAATTATTTCAACTATAGAATTAATAAAATACTAACTATAGGAACAAGGTTATAAGAGCCTTGGAGGCAAAGGAATTTTGTTTTATGGTTCAAAACAAAAAAATCCATAATGTGAGAATAAATCTTTATTATAAATTCTATAAATCCATCTTAAATTAAATTGATTAATATTAATTTATTACCTTCAGTTTCAAAAACCATTAGTTTTTTTTATACCCTTAATTGTTTATAATAGTGAGAAATATTTCTATGCTAGGAACTATGTGTGAAGAAAAAAATAATTTAATAAAAAATGTTCATGAATTTTACTTAATTATTACGAATTATTATTAATAAAGAAGTTTAATAGTTCAAGACACAAACCATTAACATAAATTTTTGGAGAGTCAATAATTTAGTAAATATCTAATTTGTCAGTAATAAACATGAATTATAACATAATTATTTTTATTAACAAAAGATTAACAAAAATATAAATCAAACTTTTGGCATAAAAATATAAAAAGTAGAAAAAATTAATAGTAGATATGATCCTAGTCTTAGGAATTTGTATGTGTTGGGCAAAAAATTGTGATACATAACTCTGAATCAGTTTAAGAAGCAATAATATCATTTTACTTGGTTCTGATATTCTAATACCAGCCTAGCTAATTGGCCTTTAGAACCAGAATTTCGATTTCTAGATCTTATACAATCCCCATATAAAGCTGCACTCAAATTATCAACAATATTTCCTTTGTATAATTCACAATGTCTTTGTTTATGTCTTAATCGTAGTCCAGATTCTACAGCTCTAAATATATGACAATCACTAAATGCTACAAACATAGAATACACTGATGGATTAGTCATGTTGGCAACTTTTAAAGAATGACTTGTAAATTCTGACACCAATTGACGTATGTCCCGATCGGCTCTAACAATAGGAATTATTGATTCTGCACGTTTTCTGGCTGAACAATTATAATTACAGTAAGAAAATAACTATATAGTAAATATAACTAAATATTAGTAAATAATAGCTTAATATACTTACAAATAACATAATCTTTTGCATAGAAAGACAAATGACTGAAGTCAAAAGGATCAAAATGGCCATAATGTTGGTTTATATCCAAAGTAGTTTGTTTTGGATATGTCATGAGATTTGGATCATATTCAGAAAATGGCAGAGCACTAAATACTTGCCATTCCATAATAGTATTCATTCTTATCTGATTTTATATATTTATTTAAAATTAATATCAGATCAATGTAAATTCATTTATCAATTTTGAATCATAAAAATGAACAAATTAATTAATATTTATTAATATAAATACATAAACATATCTGTAGTATATATCTATGTTAGAAGTTGGTGTCTAAACAACTACCCTAATTTAAAAAAAAATGATATCAATAGATTTTTTTGAATTTAGGGATATAAATTGTCTGAAAGTCATTAAAATTTATTTTCAATCATTATAAATATAATTTATAAAGATTATACAATTATTTTTTACATAACAGGTATATTAGTAACACAAATATAAATCAATATAGTACTTACTCTATTTAAATAATCCTGTCGAATTTCCATTTTTGGTCTAGCTAACATCATTAAAGCATCAGAAGGAAACTTTTTAATTGCTAAATCTACAATTGCAAAATCCAATAATGCATCTCTTAATGCTAACAGTTTTGTATTAAATACTCTAACCGATAACCATGCAACTTTGATACCATCTTTTTTATGAGTATTACTCAATGATGTTGCCTCGTCTTTTAATTGTTTAAATACATCATCAACTGCACCTTTACCTGGTGCATTAGCATCATACAATAAAATCTAAACATACAAATTTTAACTTTTATGTTATCTAATAATTGACTAATTATTATACTTACCAACATAAGCATTGTTTTTTCTTTTTTATCAATGCAAATTTGTTTAAATTGTTTCAAAAAACGAAAAGCGTCTTCTTTTTCACTGGTATGCACAGGTAAGAGTATGTGCACACGAGTATATTCAGTTACATATGGAACTGTTAACATTTCAACTTTACCAAGTAACTTACTAACTTCAACTCTGAAAAATAAATTAACAATATTTGGAAAATTGTTCATGTACATAAATCATTGATTCTCAAACATAATTAATAAATTAATTTTCATTTGTATGGTGATTTATAATATTTTTTTTAGCTAAACAATTTTCACGAAAAATGTATAATTTGAGAATAGATTATAGCAAAGATTCTCAACCTTTTGAGGCATACGTCCTTTTCATACAGTTTTATGATGTCATGTCTTCCCCCAAATAATAAGATTGAATTATGTTTAATATATATATATAATACTTTTAATGTTGGTTATTAAATTAATATATCAATATATAATATGATAATCAATGAAGTTTTTTTAAGTATTAAATGAGTTTATTTGCTGGGAAAAATAATAATTATAATTTAAAATTATTAAAACAAATTTTTTATATTCACTTTCTTAAATATTAAATTTATTATTATTAAGTAGGTACAAATCAAGGAGGTTAACACTACCTACATAGTTTCAATTAATTATGATTCAATATTATTTTAATTAAATATAAAAATAAACATAAATAATGTTTTCAGGTTTCATTGCTTTTTAAAAATATTTCACTCCTCCCTTGGAAGGTGCGTCCCTTAGGTAGAGAACCATTGGATTATAGAATGCGTGTAAGAAGTAAAAATAATGTTGATGTAGTAATAGGTATCATCTGCATATGAATACAAGAACAAAATTTAGGTTTGAAAAAATGTAAATAAATTGCATGCTTTAATCCTCATTATATAAAATACATATTTATATATTTTATTTTCAAGTCTCGTGGAAAACTTTTAAATAACTATTAAAATAGTAGGTCTAGTCATAAAAAATAAAAATTAATTATTATTAATCTATTATCAATAGAAATAAAATTTTAGATTGATTAAACAATTATTTTTAATTTTAATTATTACTCAATCAAGGAAGTTTTTAAATTTATAAATCAAATCTGTATACATTAAAAAATAAACAAGTGGTACTTTATAAATAGTTTTTACTTATTTTTTTTTTTTAAAGTTAGTGGCTATTTTCAAAAAAGTTGAACATTAAATCACTATTTAAAGCCATAAAAAACAACATTCTTACTACTAGAATTCAAGTATTAAAAATATATTTTATCACCTTTTTTGTATAAATGTGTTACCAATAATATCTTTAAAGTTTAAATCCAATATATAGTCTAATCCTCTTGATGGATCAAATCGTTTGTACCCATTAACCAAATGATCGAATTTCAAATTATTTAAATATTTTAATTCCAAATGCTCAATACTAATATTTAAAACATTCTGTAAAAATAATTTTAATTTGTATTATATAATTAAATTTAAGGTTGGTGATTTGTTAGTTTATGGTTACTTGTTAATTTATATTTAAAAAATTGTACTGTTCAAACATTCCTTACACGAATATCAGCACTTTCAGCTTCATTTAATGGTCTTATATTGCTTAGTCTAGAATCTAAATATAAATGAGTATCTGTAAAATGTTCCCATTTTAACACATCAAAACGAGTTGAAGGCAAGCTGCCTGACTGGCTTCCAACAGGCCAAGTTACTTTTCTAAAACCTAGTGGTTCGAAAACTGATTCAGCTACAATAGAACGTCTTAGTTCTTCAATATACATGTTAGATTTTTCTAAATTCATTTTACAATAAATCAAATGAATTTTATACATTGTCTTAGCATTTGGCATGGGATAAACAGTTAAAGCATGAATAAAATTTTTATGTTTCAATGGTTCATCAAGTAAATGACCAAGATCATTGGCTTCCCACAAATGATAACTATATAAAAGTTGACCCTAAGTAAAATAATTGAAACGTTTTATTTTTTGAATTAATAATTTTTTGTTTTTCGTTACTTGAATTGATGTTTGACAAGGAAGATCAACAGAATGTAATACACATCGACCAAAATTATCATCATCCGAAGTAGAAAAAGCATTACGTACACACCAATCAATATTTGGTATAATTTTACGAATAACAGAGTTACTTAATAATATTCCGGCATCTGAAAATTATTATTTAACATAACTATAATTTACTAAACACATTTTATTTGAAAAATATATTACCTAATGAACAATAATTAGTACCAATAACAGTTCCACTAGCATATACATCTTCACTTACACTAACTTTTTTTACTAAATTCATAAGTTTATCTGCATTTAAGTATGTACTGTCTTTTATTAACATGAAAAACTCATATTCGTCTAAATAGTTATCAGCAATATATTTTACCATATGAAATGGTTTCAATACACTTCTACTATCTGTAAAACCAACTATACCGGGTATTTTCATTAACGATACATTTAACTTGTGTCCACTTGTTGCATCAACAAAAAAAATTGTCTTGTCTACCCAATGTGTAACAGTCTTATTAACTGCAACCGCTAGACCATCTGCAGAAACTTGATTGGCCAAAATACCGACGAATAATTTCTCTCGAATTCCAAGTTCTGTTGAATAATATCTTGGACGTAATAAAGTCTGCGGAATTTTTTGAGCACGTTGTGGTTTGCCAGCCAAATTAATATGAGGTTCATATTCATCTTTTACAGTAATTGAACTTGATCCACTTTCAAGAACTGATATTGAAAATAGACAGCCAGTTTCTAATAATGGACCTACAATAAGACTAAATAGAAGGCCAATTGTGACGCCAATAATTAAATAGAAGTTTTGACGTAAACGTGCTGATGAACACAGCATATTGATTCTAAAATTCAAAAATAAAAAAATTATAAAAAAATAAAAGATAACAATGAATAAGTCAAATAGTAAACAACAGAGGAGTCAATACTATAAACACAATTTCAATTCCATACCAGAATTGGATAATAAATACTACCTATAAATTAATTAACATGCAATGAGAATAACAACATTAACCACAATCAAAATTAAAAAGGTATTCTTCATTGGCTGATATTCATATATAGTGTTATAACTCTTACCTAGAATGATGGACTTTGGTTTTGAAAATTCAATCCGTCAACATATTACGATATCAATTTCGTTTCGATATTTAAAAGGTTTATCCTATATATTAATAGAAAATGCATTTATTAAAACAATAAATATTAATAAACTATTAAAACAAAATTCCTACTCGTTATTAGGAAGGTAGTTCATTCGGAAATTCAAGGAATTCATAGATATTGGTGCCCTGCCACAACTATTTTAAAACCATAAATCCACAACTATATTTACAAACTGCAGTTGAACACTCATCGCCACCGTCATAGTATTAAAGTTATCATAAACAAGATGTTGATTTTACCGACGGATGTGTGTTTATAAATATATATATATATATATATATATATATATATGTATCTATATCCATGTTTTTACCAAAGACAAATACATTGACGTATTCTTTCAATTGTTACCGTCCGCCTATCAGTGTGCATGCTATCACTAACGACAACACCGACAGCTTAGCGAGCCTTGGTAGTCAGATGCTGATGCAGTGCTGCACTCTGCCATTAGAAAAACGATAACACGACGAAGGTGCATCGGACCGTGAAGTGTTAACCTCAAATACGAATGGCGCGGCCGTCTTGGAAGAACGAAACGTCACGGTCCGAGACGATTTCTTGGTTTATGGGTTGTCCGGAAAATTGAAAGAAAGCGAAAACTCGTCGCCCAACACGTAGCGTACACGAACTCAATATGTGCAGACCGTCAGTGCGAAAAACACGGGAAACGCGAAAAAACCAAAAACATTTCATGGAAGGGACGCGTTAACTCCTTGGCTTGTCAACGGACAACTTATTTTGTTATTATTTATTTTTTATTTTTTCCCTCAGTGTTTACTATTTGCTCACGTTTACGTTGTCTATCGCATCATTCTTTTTTTATCATTTTAACGTTCGATTCCGCTGTCTCGACTTGTATGTTTGAGAGTGTGTACGTTCGCTCGTCCCGTCAGAGTCGAATTATTTTTTTTATTAACCCGTAACCGATTGCACTGCATCTGCGTGATCCACCACAGGAGGTTTGTATCCAAAATTTGCCGATGATCCACAAACGACTAGCAAATGTCAAAAGTTATGGGTGAGTACCTGCTATCTCTTTGGTTTCCCTAAAAAACATTGTCAATATCGGTCTTGATATTTTTCCTCAGTTGATTATCATTGTAGGCGCAAAAGCGTTGTGATTACGTTATGATCGTGGCGCAACAACATCATGCTGCAATCTTCCAAACCGAAGGTCACCGACCTAAATCCACATTTGTTATGTGTTCTGTGTGGTGGATACTTTGTAGATGCTACAACAGTAATCGAATGTTTACATTCCTGTAAGTAATATATGTTAAAATATTGTACCTTCTTACAATTGTTTTGATTCTTGACAGTTAAACCTTTAACATTTTATTTGGAAAATTTTAGTTACGATTTGAATGTAAACTTCATTTGATTGATTACATATTTAATTAATCATCAGATAAGCATTTATTTATCACCTCATTTTAATTTAACTATATTGTTTGTATTTAGTTAAAATTATTGTAAAGACTTATTCAATCATATTTTTGTTAAAAAAATGAGGTTATTACATTTTTAAAACTTAAGATATTGTTATTGTTTATTCTATAATGCACTAACTGAAATAATTATAATTATTTCTCATTTAACTTAAATAAACTACCATTATTAAGTTAATACTAATAAATACTAATGTATTAGCATTATTTATATCAATATTTATTAAAAATTAAAACAAAACTAGGTAGTTATTTGGCATTATTAGAAGGATATTTCATTTTAAATAAATTACTTTTATTTACTTTAAAATTGTAGATAACTGATCAATTTTATTTTGTTTTCTCAAGCAAGAATTAATGAATCAATAATTAAATAGCAATTTCCCTTTTACACATAATGTAAATAATCAAAAATGATGTAAAATATTTGCTTTATTAGAAAATTTTGTGTAAATTATATTCATAAGTTATTAAATAATTAGAAACCTTATAGTTCTAATAAGATATTATATAGTGTTATATAGTTTTATAGATTTCTTATGACGTTATAGATGTTCTACAATTTTACAATGAAGGAATAACATAAAGAAAATCATTAAATACCTTGGGCTCTGCATTTTATTATTTAGTTCATTATACTTTAGTTGTTTGTACAGATATAAATATATAAATATACATTTTTGATTAACTCCTTTTAAATTGATAAACAACTGATATACAATTCCAATAACGTGCTGATCACAGTGTAACAGCTTAATGCTCTGTAATTGTAGAAAATACGTAAATTAATTATTTTTTTTATTAAGTTATTTTTAGTATTCTAGTAGCATAATAAAATAAAAGTTAATATATAGGGAAATATTCGGAGTTCCTAACTAATTACTTTTGAAAGTTCTAATTTTTGATGAACAATTTTTACTTTTACTATTAATAATTTGTATATTTCTGATTTGAACTTGTATGATGATTGGTTAGTCAAATTAATAAAATAGCTTTAAAATAAAAAAATAAAATTCAGTAAAAAGTTTCAAATATACATAAAAATGTGTGCGGTAAGCTTGGTTTTGTTAAAACAAAGTTGAGCTGCCCAAAATTTAAAAAAATTAAATATTTAGAATTTTTCCAAAGGAGTTTTTCCATCATTATAGTATACTTTAATTTGATATCAGGTAGTCACTTTCTCCTGGGACATATTATTTATTTATTGTTTAAAAATGTACTATTTATTTGATAACTAACATTGTGAGAAAATAATTTTATGTGAAGTTATGTTAAACTTATCTTACTTTTTTTTTAGTTTGTCGGAGTTGTATTGTCAAATATCTCGAACGCAACAAATATTGTCCAATATGCGACGTATTAATTCACAAATCCAAACCTCTATCCAATATCAGGCCAGATCATACTCTACAGACTATTGTTTACAAACTTGTCCCATTTTTATTTCAAAGTGAGTTCAGTTTTGCTAACCTTAAACAATTACTAATGATAGTATAATTTTCTTAGAAGAAATGTCTTTAAGAAGAGACTTTTATAGTCAAAAACATTTGTATATACCACGAGATTTACTTAGTCGTGGTGTTGTACCAGAGAATTATCATGTTTTTGCTACCAATGAACGAATTAGTGTATGTCTTTATTATGAACTGGATAATACAGATCAAATAGTAAGAAAATATATGATAAAAAAGTTTCAATTACATTTAATTGTATTTATTTTTATTTTTTTAATTTTGACAGTTTAAACAAGAAGCATATAAATACTACTTGTGGTGTCAAGTAACAATGACAGTTTTAGCTTTGAAAAAATTAATATACCTAAAATATGAATTAACACCAAATGATTATCATAGTGTAGAAATCTTTCACCAAAATAATTTATTAGATGATCATTTAACTATAATGGATATTATTTATATGTTTGATTGGAAAAGGGTAAGTATATCTAATTAATTGATATCTGAATATTTTCTTAACATTTCTTTATTTTTAGAAAGAACCATTAACAATTGCTTATCGTATTCTTAAAACCGAAATTCAACCTCTTCCTCATAATGAAATTGTTAGAAAAGAAAACATGTTGGCCCCTCAAAGAGATAATGAAAATTCCAAAGAAGAAAAAAATGATTTACATCTTCAAGCTATTGCTAATACAGAGATAAAAGTTGAAGAAGTACCTACAAAATTAGAAGAAAAATCTATGGCTATTGTTAAGATACCAGATTCTAAAGAAGTACAATTAGAAATTAGCGAAAATGGGATCATGAAAGTTACAAATATTATTCAGAGTAGAGAAACTATTCAAGCTAATGTTACTATTGAACCTACTGATGTAATCAAGAATGAAAATTCATCTAAACTTGAAGATAATAAAAAAAATAATGATGATGATAAGAAAAAAACCTTAAAAGTTTATCCAGGATCTAAGATAAAAAAGACAAAACCTAAATTAGATACTATTGTTGAAAAAATTAAAAAACAAGGAACTAAGTACAAAACATTAACAACTCCAACCAAACATTGGAATCCTAGTATATCAAAGAGTTCAATTTTAGCCAAAAAAAAAGAAATGAATGGAGTAGATAAAAAAAGTCAAAAGTTTTTCAAATCAAGAGATAAAAAAAATGAAGATAAAGCAGAAGAAAATTTAAAAAGATTAGCTGAAGTACCTTTAATGAAAATAAATCCTCAGACATTATGTCCAATCATGCCTTCTACTCCAGCTAAGAAATCTAAAAAGCTTACTCCTAAAAAGAACACTTTAGCTCATTCTTTGGCTCTACTACCTGTTCGGCCAGTCAATAATAATCCATTTACCAATCCATTGAATCCTTTCATGTATGGAACATATTCGAATAATTCTAATGGAGGTCCAGGAGAACCAAATGATTTTCTTAAAGCTATGTCTGAACTGTGTCCACCATCATCGGCTTACCATAATTCATTGCCTCCATCTGTCAGTGTACTTCTTAATCCTCTGTATACACATCACAGACAAAGTCAAGCTAAAAAAATACCTACAACTGTACCTCAATCACCTGATGTACAAAAATTACCTTCCAATAAACTAGACACTAAAACTGAACAGATAGAAGATAAAAAAAATGCTGACAATAAAGATGATGAATGCACTAATAATAACAAAGGCGAAGAAAAAATGGAAGTAGATAATGAAAAAGAAAAAGAATAAACTTAGAGTACCATGAAATTTCTATAACTCGTAAATAGTCTTTAAAGCATCATGACAATAAGATTTGTAAAAATGCATGCAAATTTACCTAAATAAGTTATTTAATCACTATAGAACATGAAATTCAAGGGGATCTCCAAGACTTATTTATAACAAAATTTTAGTTTTAGTCATATTTATTTCCTTTTTTATTTCCACTTAGTATATGAGATTTTATTTTTTGTGATACTATAATCTTTTACTGGTGGGTAATTCCTATTGAAGAATTGTTATTAATATATATTTTTTAAGCTGGTAGTTAGGAATGTTTCTTACAATATTATAGATTTACATTTATTTTTTGAGTACTTGTATGATAATTTTATAGTGCAGTAAAACCTCGATAAGATGGAATCGCTTGGGACCATGAAATTTTTTTGTGTTAACGGGGTTTCCGTCTTATCAAGGTTTTGTTGTATAATCATTATTTCCTACCAAAAAATTAACTAGTACTAGTTATTATATACTTCTATTTTGTTTAAATTGTTTACAGTAATGTATATTTGTGAGTTTTTTCTTCTTCAAATTTATAAATCAAACTACGATATAAAGTTAGGATTGTTAGCAATTTTCCTGTGCATAATAAATATCAATTGGTGGATTGAGGTTCAAAATAGCTTCAATACATTAAAGCATAGTTGTCTTTTACGACTCGTTCATAATAATTCCAACAACAATAACTGAATATAAAGAAGTAATGTAATATTTTATTATACCTGTGTTCTAAAATGTTTAATACAATACATTTTTTTATAAATTAGATTACCCTTGTTTTATGTTCTATATCTTTCAAATAAGTTTCTATATAAATTTGTAGCCAAATTTTAATGTTTTGCTTGTTTTAAAATTTTTATTGAAATTTCTCTCAAATTCTAGTCTTAGATTAAGATGTAAATTTTGTAAAAAAGAAAAAATGTTAATAATTTTATTCATGTGCCTTCAGTATTTAATACCCATTGCTCACATACTTATGTGATATCGATATATGTTTATGTATTGCAGCTCAATTTTTTTTAAATGCATTGGAAAATTAATGTACATTGTACAGGGTAATATGCACTAATCTCTAAGATTGTGTGATGATTTATATATTCTTCTGTGGTATAATTAATTTCATGTTGACTAATGATTTTTTTTTTATATACTTTTCAATAATTTCAACTTGAAATTAATGACAACATTTAAATGCTTAAAATAATTAAAATAATATTAAAAATAAACTCCGGTTCCCTTTCAAATCGTATACATTTTTCACTTTGTACTTGCTTCGGCAGTATATATACTAAAATACTTCTTCTAAGGGACTTATAGTTTAATTTATCTGTATTTAATAATAAATCATAATAATAAAATTAATGTACTATTTTGCAATTAAATTAAATTACTAATTTTTTTTTTATATCAATTCCTAAATACTTATCACAATTACTTACTCAATTGATTAAATTTATTTATATTTGATCAATGCTAACAGCTAGAAATAATATGATTGAAAAGCAATTTATTTTTATTTTAAAATGTATTAACATCACATTATTGATATAAGTCTAATTATTATTCATACAGTGCCAAAAATTAATAAATACATTTATTTTTAATACTTTTTTGCCTATAGTAGGTACTTTACAAATATTAAGTATATAGTAAATAATATTAATTTTTAATGTGATTTATTTTAAAATTTATTTTTATAAAAACTCACCGTTTTATATGAGGAACAAATATATATATAAATATATATTGTATACTTAATTATTAATGATTTTTTATAATATTGTTATTTCAGTATTTTTATTCTTTTAAAATTCAACATTTTAGAAATGTTAAAAATAGCTTATAAATATTTAAGAAAAATTGAACTTTTTCTTGTTGTATATATAAATTATATTATTGTATTATGGATTTTTTAATTTATTTTATGTACTACAAGAGTCACAGTCTTTAATTTGTTCATGATATATTTAATTTAATTATTAAAATGTTAATATCTATAACAAAAAAAAATGTATGTTTTTAATATTTGGGTTTAGAATATTATTGTACTCCAAATTTCTCTAAAAATATGTTATAGTTATGTTTTATTTTTACAAATAAAATATGTTGATTTAACATTTTAAAGACTGCTGACTATTAAATGTTAATGGTTTTGTTTTAAAAAATGAAAAATTACCTACCAAAATATTTATAATCAACAAAACATTTTAAATATATTATTTATTAAAGTGTAATTTATTTTTGTAAAGTTAAATTGTTAAATAATTTTAATTTATTTTTAATGTAATTTAAATGTAACAATTATAGTATTAATTGTTAAGGATTGAAGAGGTGTAATGAGTTTTATAAATAAAATATTTTCAAGGTTTTAAATGTTCACTCAAATTTGTATTCACTTTCACCTCATTATTATATTATATTATTAGATTTTCATCTTTAAATCTCTATATAGGGCAAACTAAAGCTAATAATTTGAATTTTATAACTATTATTCCTAAGTTTGAAGTATAATTAATATAACATATTTGTTTTTTTATTTAATATCATATAAAACAAGGAAAATAACATTAAACTTTTAAGAAATGTTAAGAATAAATGCATCATATGATTTTATAGCTCGGAAAATTGTAATTGAAATTTCAATTACCGAACCAGTAGTGCATCGTGTATTTATTTACCTACGCTATGATACGGACTTTCGTTGATCATGGATTTTCAGCACGGAAAATCGTCGAGTAATGCATGAGCACACAAGAAATGCGGGCTGCACTTTTCCTGAGCTCGTTTATATTTAATTTTCCATCTGCATGATTTTTTCGCATGTAGAACAGGGTGGGAAGTAGGTACGCAACAGCTAAGAGGTAAATGAGAGATTTAGCTCGGGGACCAGCCTGGATGGCGTCGACTCGGAACAGGCAATTGTATCGGGTAGATTGTACGGAACAGTCGGAGGCTGTTGGCGCATGAAACATTCTAGAAAAGAAAAGAAAAACTGATCATAAACACTGTGTTCGTTTAATGTATGTACTTCGAGTATGGTGTATCAACGCAACACGGAAATTGCGAAACAAACCCTGAATAGCAAAAATATGAATGATGTTAACAGAACAACAAACGCTGAACCGGTTTACCTCCGACGTAAGTACTTGCTAGTTTTAAATAAACTACAACACAATAACAGGCTGGGAACTGTGTTGGAGCAGGTACGTAGGTACCCAAAATTGGCTGGTACCGAATTCCGTCCCGGGCCCCCTTTGGTTCCATAACTGAAGACCGATTTCCGTCCCGTAGGCGGAGCAACTGTCTGAATTTCGTCCTACTACCTGTAACTATGATATATTTGGGAGTAATATTTTCCTTCACATTTTCTCCAGACTTAGGACTGGCAGCTTTGCTGGCATGTTTAAAAATGTAAAATCCGGCAAAACAGCCTTATTTATTTATTATTAATATACGGAGCAAAAAAAACTTCATTTACAGTATATGCCATTTATGTATAAATATGACAGTCATGTAAGTATTTTCATAAATTTAAGAGTATAAGTATAATATATGTTATGTGTAATTAGTATTTAAATTATTTATTTATTTTTAATTATTATTTTTTAGATTTGAAATAGGCTGGTAAAAACTTAGACGACCCTGACACACAAACTGGTGTCGATCTATGTTTCGACTTTTCCAAAGCATCATTTTATCATTTAAAAACTGTTCTCTCTCCAATGTTATTTTAGATTTTGGCAATGTACTTCGCATTTTGATACAAATTTCAGTTTGCACTGCTTTTACAGTTTCTGTGAATTGAAATATATTTGGTTTTGAAGTATAAAAATAACTGTTGAATTTCGAATGAAATGACTCGCAATTGTTTGTGGTACGGGATACACAAGGTGAATATTCAGCCCAAATAGATGGTGGAAAAAGAATACTCTTTGAAATATATGTATCCAGCAAATAATCACAGAACTTAGTAACTCTGGCATCATCAGGTTTAATCGAAACAAAATCGAATACGAACGAATCACTAACTGTGTTAGGAGGTAAAAATGGTCGGGGCGGAATTCGGACATAGTTTATCCACCCCCGGGACGGAATTCGGTCATTTTCAGCAACCCGGGACGGAATTTGGCGATTGCCCCAAATTTAAGATTATATTTTCAAAACGTAAAAGGATTTGAAAAGCACATATATAATTGTTAGAAACAATACAGTGGTGAATTCATCGTACCTACCTCCGATTGGCTGAGTCAGTCCTTAATTAGTTGTGCAGTATATATTTGTATACATAAGCAGAGCTTGCGCTAAGAAAATATTAGAACTGCAATCCTGTTTGTTTTACAAAAGTGAAAAAAATTTGACCCTCGCATATAATAAATAATACATGCTAACATCAACATTAATTAATATTATATTATACGTCATAATGTATATAGATTTTAATAATTGAAATAACAAATTCTTTAAATCTAATGTAAATACTCTAGGTATGTTTTTTGCTGTTCATCCATTTGACAATTGACTTATTAAAATCCCAATCATACAATGGAGGCATGTTATAATTATTGTATAAGTACATATTTTAAGTCGAAACATTCATGGCGGAACGTAATGGAGACTTTAATAAATTACTAATACCGTAGTTTTAATTTCTTGATTTTCATAGATAAATATTTATTATCAATGTTACAAATTTATAGACATATAGAATTAATTATTAAAAATTAAAATCATATTATTTTTTTTTATGAACTGCTCAACATTTAAATAAGAACTGTACATTAGCGCAAGCTCTATACATAAGGCGAACAATATGCGTTCAAATTTTAACCGTTTAATTAAAAATAATTGTTGTGATGTAATTTTCATTAATTTTTTTTTTTTTTTTTAATTAAAACCTTCACTGCTTTTAATATTTGTTTCGCTGTATTATTATTACTATTTAGTATGTACTTTTATATTATGTACATATAAAACGCAGTTGTTTGAAGACCAGCGAGTGTTTCAACTAATATAATATTTAACATACAATAAACCTGTTAGCTGTTCTACCTATATTTCCATAAGAAGTGTTATATATGTACTTGATATTATGCGAATATAATAAAACATTCGTGTTGTAAGTATTTGTATAAAGTGTGTGTGTGTGTGTCTATGTATTGGTACATAATTACGTTACGCGGTAGCAGCTCACTGTTGATTTTTTATACTCATGTAAAATTATTAAAGTGACAATGACGCGTGTTATGAATACGCAATTTTTATAGACATTACAAAACTAGTATTAGTAAAGTCAACTATCTCCCACGGAGACACTATCGACTTAAAATACATGAATATACGTGTGTATATTTAACGTGGCCATATTTTATAATATTATGTTTACGATGTGTAAATCGAATGCCAATGTGCTTAAATACTTTTAAAGAACACAAGCGCGCTTGGAGGTGAAAGGGCACAAATGCGTTTTACACTTTTTAGAGGTCACGCTGTGTTTTAGCGAGATTAATTATTTGATTATTATATGCTAATCATTTTTGGAATCATTTATATTTATAAACGAGTTCAACGTACAAAATATAATAATTAATATTACATAAATATATGTAAAATATATATTTATTTGAGCGTGCCGATATGTTGTATTCATAAATTGCTAAAAACTGTAGAATTTTGTATTTTTATTTTTTTATTATTATTAAATAGTAAACAATTTTACTTCGAGAACTAAACGGTATTTCAGGCAGGGCTGTGCCTAGGGGGGTGCGTGTGCACCGGGCGTCATGACCACTGAGGCACCAAAAGCTTTTTCAAAATCTAAGAAATATTACTGAAAGTTAACCGTATTAAAGCTGGTTACGCACTACTCGTTTTAGAGCGTTTTAACGCCAAAAATCAAATACACATCTACATATGGTTATGTTTACACCAGGGAAAAAATTGCGTGTCCGAAAGCTTCGAAACGTGCAGATTTAATTTTGAGCGTTTTGTCTAAGATGTCTAAAACAATGTTTTTTTTCATGTTTTATTCACAATGAGAGGAGTATTTATTTTTCCCAGAAATGACGACGTCGGCTATAATAAATTAACAATAATATATCATTTATACTTTATTGTCATAGGCGCAAATAAGGGGAGTGTAATAGGAATTTTAGCACTCCTGAGTTCAAAT